CATATAGCCCATATACCCCTATAACCGCATAGCCCTATAGCCCTATAGTCCTATAGCCCCATCGCCCCAACAACAATCTGATTGGGGCTTTTCTCCGGTATCATTTACTATCTTTGAATATTCCTCCTGTAGAGGGACAGGCCCGACTTAACGCTGGCCTTTTTTTGCTGGCTCCTCGCCGGCTGCGCGGTGCCCGGGAAGGGCGGCGAGGAGGTGGAAGGGCGGAGGGCGGCGAGGGGGCGGCGCCGTGCACGACGGGCAGAGGCGACGGCGTCGGCGCGGCCGCTGTGCGCTGCGGCCTCTCGATGGGCCGAAGGTGGTCGAAGCCGTCAGCCGGTGCGCAGGCTCGGCTGATCCAAGCCTGGTCTAAGAGACTACTGTGGCCCCACCGCCAGCAGCTGGAGGGCCTTGTGCCTCCTTCGCTTCCTCTGCTCCGTCGAGCGCTTCTCGCACTGGCAGAAGCAGTGGGGCGGCGGGGACCTGCAAGACTATTGGGCCTGGGAGGGACGGGGACGAGGAGGAGGGGGAGGCGGCCGCTGTCGCAGCCATTCGCTATGAAACAGTCTGGCCGTAGGCCTCTGAAGCTTTAGACCACGGAATCAGTCGGTCTGGGTGTCAGTCTGCACCCGGCGCTCTGAAACAGTCTGATGTCGGAGATGGCGAGGGGCGTTTTTTCTCACCGAACAATATCACACAGCTGCCTCACTGCCCCTCGGCTTAGCTCCAGACGGCGTCGGAGATGACTGGGGGCGACCCTGGCATTCAGATCGAGCAGGCTAGGACCTCGGCCTCCGATGTCACCTAACTTCGCGCGTCGCGCACCGTCATGCGCAACGCGCGGTTACCTCCGCACCCTCAAGCGGCCACCTTCGAGAAGATCAGTTTTCTGGCCCAGGCCGCAACGCGCATCAACGCGCCAAGCGCGATTATCTTCGCACCCGTGGGGTTGACGTAGGACCTCCAACGTTTTGAAAGAACAAGGCGGTTTTGTTCATCATTACGCCCTCAGACCGTCAAAAAAACAAACCGAGATGAAACAGCAGCCCCTGGCAAATACGAGTTCGAATGGCTTGGGTGCGGCCACGCATTGAAAAGATTAGGACACCGGAGATCTGGGTTCGGGCGGTGCCGACGCGCGGGATAGATCGAGGACTTCATGCGTCTTGAACGACTTGGGACCTCTGGAGGCCCCTGGAAGCCTCTGGAGGCCTCTGGAGGCCTCCGAAGACCTCTGGAGGCTTCCAAGGACCTCCAGAGAGCACCCGGGACCACCGGAGGGGATGGCGAGTCCTGGGCAGCCGGAGGGCCTGGCAGAGCCCCATGTCGGAGCACCTCGAGAGAGCAGCACTCCTCCGACGGGCAGCTAGGCGCAGGGCGCGAGAGCCGAGAGGACATGGACGGGGTGTCCTTTTGTCTGGGGCGGTCGACCCAATCATGCGCACGCCGACTGCGAGAGGGGGCTTCGGGTGGGAGGGTTCTTACCAGGTTGGGGGGGGGGACTGCTGGATGGCCCTGCTCCTGGAGAGTTCCGAGGGCGTCCTTCCTGGAGTGGTCGGGAGCTTTGGAGGAAGCATGACGCAGGTTTGGGGTCCGTTCGAGGGGGTCGAGGGTCGTCGACAGTCGAGAGGCTTTCGGAGGCTTCATGGTACGGTGATGATGATGCGGATGGCGATGCTGATGATGATGTTGCTGATGATGGTGGTGATGATGGTGGTGATGATGGTGGTGATGATGGTGGTGGTGGCGATGGTGATGGTGATGGTGATGGTGATGGTGATGGTGATGGTGATGGTGATGGTGATGGTGATGGTGATGGTGATGGTGATGGTGATGGTGATGGTGATGGTGATGGTGATGGTGATGGTGATGGTGATGCCCTGCGCGTTGGGGGCCTCCACAACCAATCTGAAATAAAACAAGACGTGGGATTCCCCCTCGACTGGACTCTGAAACCGGAGCAGGCACAGAACAAACCGAGACGGAGACGGCGAGCCTCGTGCCTCGGGCACGGGACGGGGCACTATCTGAATAGTCGCCAGGCTGGGTCGGTGAAAGCGGCCTCATCTTCGAGCTCGACCTCGACCCCCATCACTTTCTCCCAATCGGGGGACGGAGGGGGAAGAGGGGGAGGCGGGAGAGGGTCGGAGGAAGTCAAAGGAGCGAGACGAGCGAGTTGGGAATCCGAGAACCCCGCGGACCGATGGGGCAGGGGTCTCGAAACAGCACGCTTCTCCAGGATCTTAACGATCGTTTGATACATCAGAGTGGTAATTGAAAATCGGCCCCTGGCTTCCTGAACAACAGAGTCGGGAGTGGGTGGTCATTGGCGGCGTCGGCGGCAAGCTCATCCACGTTTTCATTCAACTCTGCAGCGAGCGCGCGCGCAGCGCCGCGGTCCACGCCGTCCTCGCCCTGGTGCGAGTAGGCGCGCCCGATCTGAAACATGACGGGCTTCGCGTCGATCGCGTTCTTGATGTGGTTCCAGATGTCGGCCCAACTGCCAACTGGTGGGTCTCCGCCGTCGAGTAGGTCCTGGAACTCACGTACACATCGCTCGCTGTCGCAGTAGATCCAGACCAGCTCTTCAGCAACTCGGGCGACATGGAGGGCTCGAGCTTCTGCGCGGGCACTGCTCTGCAGGGGCTCGTAGAGCTTCGAGGAGTACTTCTGTCGATGGGAAGGAGCCACGCACACCGCATAGCCCGCACGGGCAAGCCAAGGATCCTCTGGAAAGCGGCATGCGCCACCCCTTGCCAAGGCGAGCCATCTTCTGTTCCGGTCGTCGGTGATGTAGTTTCCACGATCCTCTCCAGGGTCATCGTCAAGGGCGCGCGGCAGACGGTGTCGCGGAGCTCCCGGCTCGGCCACCATCGCGCTGCAAAGCAGGATGGTCTCCTCATCCATGAAGGTGAGCCCGCGATGTCGCGTAGATGGTGGCCACTGCTCTCGATCCTGCACTTGCGAAATCGAGACAGGGGTTCTCGCTCTGCTTGCCAGGAAGGACAGCCTCAAAGGATGTGCGACTGCGTCTCCTGCTGGACGTCGCAGAACACTCAGGCAGCTGAGGTATCCTCCACGACTCCAGCTCGTTGCAGTCGCTGTTGTGCGTGATTCCCCCAGCGAGGAGGACAGACAACAAACCACGCTGCCACTTCGTGAGGCCGTGCTTCTTGCTGTCTATGCGTAGTAGCCACGTGTTCGCCACCATGTCGAAGCCGTACTTCTGCTTGGCGGTGTCACCGAGGTCGTTTCGGGTGACCATGGTCGTTGTGTGTCTCGAACGTGGCGCATGAGGTAGTCGCTGTGTCCCTCCAGCCAGTTGATGGGCGCCCCCAGGACGGTCCCAAGCTTGTCGAACTGAGGCCAGCGCCACTGGAACGGTGTGAGCATCCTGATGACAATGCGCACTGGTCCTGGATAAACTGCTTCAGCGTCCTGGACGTGGTGCCTGAGGTCGGCGACATATGAGCGCAGCAGCGGCAATCGTAACACTTCGCGTCGGATGGGTAGCATGCCTTCGCGCTGGCCGATGGCGCAGGAATCGCAGGAGGACGACGTTTAACAAAATCCACCGGCAAGTCCACTGTCGACCCCGCGGCATGATGGCAGCGAACACGGCGCGGCATTACTCGCGCATCTTGAGCTGGGACGGGGCCCCGAAGTCGGAGCCCACGGCCGCCATGGAAGCCGCCATCGCCCGGGCGATCTCCGCGCGCTTCTGCACCAGGAGTGGCAGGCGCTGAGCTCGTTGGAGTCGTAGTATGGCTGCCGCGAAATGCTTGTCGAGGAGGCCAGCGCCCCCCCCCCTCCGCGCGCGACGACGCGGCTGCCCAAAAGCCAGAAGGCCCTCTTGACGGGAGGTCGCGGCCGCAGACCTGCGCGCTGCTCTGCCCGTCAACCGCGCCGCCGCCAATAGTCCAGGCGACTAACTTGCCCAAGTGCAACTCCTGACCAAGGAGCTGGTCGAAAAACAGAGAAAGGTTGGCGGAGGGATTCGCGCATGCCTGGCATGTCCCACACCGCTGAGTTCGAATCACCGATGAAGTTATAGAGAGCGACCTCGGCACCGCACGACGCTGTCTTGCAGTCCACGCGCGCGTGCGAATTGTTTATGTCGTCGACGCTGAACGCAGAACCTCGAAGGCGGGCGTTCGCAGTGCTCGTGGCTTCACTGCATGTGCCAGACATTCTGCGGCAACTCCGATGATTGCTGCGAAACGCCCGTCGCCCATGTAGAGTGCTTTCTGGGCAACCAGCGTGCCTCTGGAGATGCGTTCATATGTCCGTCACCAATAAGTCGAAGCACTCCTCGCGGTCCAGCGCTAAGCCGTGGACCCACTGCTCAACGCGTCTGGACCACTCGACCTGCAGAGCGAGACTCGTCGATACATCTGACAACCTGGCCCCCGAAGTGGCCCCGACGCTGGCGGGATGGCACCCCTTGCGCCGCCGGGCTCGCGTCCTCGGCGCAATCGGGACTTCCCGAAAGCAAATCCAGACCGAAAGGACTGAGAGTGAGAGCAAACGCTGCTCTTCAGGAATAATCCCCCCCCCCCTTCCTCAAAGCTGGATTGGGCACGCGGTTTCTTTGCTGCTCAGCAACCGGGTAGCCGAACTGATGCATAGCGGCATGTCGACGTGCGAGCTCAGCATCGGGTGGCCGAACTGGCGCAGGGACAAGTGGATAGGTCTTCGGTTCGACCTCTATCTGGTTGCCGTCGGAGCTTCGAACAACCGGCGTCACTGGTGGCTTCCCCTGGAGTGCCCCTTGCCAGGGTTGAGTGTTGGTCGTAGGCGATGCTGGTGCACGCCCCGTACGTGGCGGCGGTGGCTCCGCCGTCTGAAGCGACGCCGCGAGGGCGACAGCGGGGCCCACGGCGGCGTCGCCTTTAGTCGCCGCTGCGTTGCCGGCCGCAACCTTCGAGTCGGCCCACGACGCGAAGGAACCGAACTTCCAGTTCTTGTTGGAGGGCTCGCTGTCAAGGCGTGTCGAAGCCGACGTAGACGATGTCCGCTGCGCAGCCCACCGTCTGCACTGCGTCCGTGACCTGGCCCTTGGCGGCTCGACCGCTGGGGATGTCGTCGATGCGCCACTTGCGCCGTGCCAGTGCGACGTCAGACCCTCGGACAGCAGCGGCGGCTTCATTTGCTTGAGGGTGATCACAGAGCACGCGCATGCCGAACTGCCAACGATCGCCCTTGGCGATGCCCACGGCAGCTCCGTGGGACTTGGCCATAGAGTAGGCGCCCTGCATGCTGATCGTCTTGTTGAACCATACTGCGTGCACCTTTGTCTTGTCATCTGCTTCTCGGAGTCGGCACCGATGTTGGGGAAGGCGAAGGCGACGCCCTGGTAGCCCATGCACCTCAGCAACTGGATCTCCTGAGCCTTCTTTGAAGCAAGGACGGCCCCCAGTGACCTTTGACCTGCCTGACCTCCTGCACGCACTGGGCGACTGGGCTCGTCGAGGATCTCGATCTCAGGGCAGATAGCGTTCATGGTGGGCGCGATGACCTCGAACAGCCCAGTGTCGAGAGAGAGTTTGGCGTCAGATCGGCGAGCTTGGTTCCATCTCTCGTTCGCCGTCGTGCCGAGCTTGTCTTTGCGCTGGCCTCCGGACACGATGGGTGCGGCCCCGTTGAACTGCGAGCTGAAAACGTTTTTCACCGTGGGGTTGGCAAGAAGGGCGTCGGCCTCATGGATGGTGATGCGCATGAAGGTCGCGTTGGCGTCCAGGGCGC